CCCAGAGAGACAGAGACAGAGATAGAGACAGAGACTCTGCACCCTCATGGAAAGAGAAAGAATGAAGTCCCCCGTAGTCTGCAAAAGCAATCTACTTCCTCTGGGGTTATGGGGCAAGGGTTTTCTTTTTTCTTGAGATAAAAATTCATGTAACATCAAAGTAATCATTTTAAAATATATACTTAAGAAGCTTTTGCCCATTCTCAATGCTGTACAACCATCATCTGTGTCTCTCTATCTCACCCCAAAAGAAATCCCCTATAAGCAGTTGTCATCCACTCGTTCACACCTGCCTATAAGTGCCTGGTATCCATTATGTAGATATGCTTTGTGTCTGCAGACTTCCCCTCCTAAGTGTGTGTGTGTGTGTGTGTGTGTGTGTGTGTGTGTGTGAGCACGCGCATATGAGTGCAGATGTCTAATGAAGGCCAGAGCAGCTGATCTCCTGAAACTGGAATAACAGTTATGAACTGCCTGTGTGGATTCTAGGACCCAAACTCAGGTCCTCTGGAAGAGCAGCAAGTGCTCTTCACAGAGCCACCTCTCCAGCCCTGGATAGGGTTATTAATGGAACAACTCTCGGGTCACTGCTGGGTCATCTCACGGAGGCAGTGCTGCTACCATGGAGGCAGAATGCCGAGCAACCTCACCCTGCTGTGGTGATGAGCCATCTGGAGAAGAAACCTGTTGAGGCAGAATTCCCTGCAGAATCAGAAACCTGAAACTCAGTCACCTTCATTGCCAAGTGAGATGGGCTGTGAGTTAGATCCTGGGAGGATCGTGGCAACCCACAGTGTCTAAAAACATTCAGATTTGAAAGTGTTTACACAGTGCTGACCCAGAACTCTGGGTTCACTGGGTATTCTGCGAGACAACCACAGCAAATGCAGCTCTGATGTTTTAAAAGAGGCATTGGCAAGCTGAATGTCAAGGCCCAACAGAGAGGTGGGTGGGATCCTAGCATCCTGTCAGCCCCAGATGTTGCAGGTCTGGGGCCTGCTTAACTAGTCCTACTGGCTCTGCTAAGCATCCAAGTGGGCCTGAAGAATATACTGGATTTGGGTTTCTATCTGTAGTCAGTTGATGAGCCTATAACCTTCACAATTGGTTTCAACCACAAGCCTGGAACTGGGGGTGACAGTCTCAGAGAGTAAGAGAGGATGACTTGTTGGACCAGGAGTCCAAGTAAAACATGTCCTGTTCACATAAGATGTTAGAGTTCTGTCTTGGACCAGTGGTTTCTCTGTCCCATAGCATTCTTAAAACTTAGCTTGGAGCACCGTATTGTGCGTAGCTAACTGGTTCTCACCTTTAGAGTCAAAAGTCACCTGAAGAGCTGTCGGATCTGATTCTCAACCCCACCTCCAAGAAATTGGTATCAGGGGCTCAGCCTGGGGCCTGGGAATCTGCACCAGGTGCTCAGACTTATGCTCCGTACGGTCAGACCTTGGCCAACCCTATCCTAGTGAAAGTTCTTGAACTCTAGCTGTCAAAACCAGAGGCTAGCTTGCTCTGTTTGCACAAATCTCCAAGCCCAGCTCAGAGAACCCAAATGGCCTAACATTGAGTATCTTGCTTAGTTTTAAGTTTTATTGTTGTTGTGTTAGTTTGTGTGTGTGCGCATGCGTGCGTGTGCCTGTGTGTGCGTGCATGCGTGCGTATGTGGAGACTTGCCACAGTGCACGTGTAGTCAGAGGACAACTTGTGGGAGCTGGTTCTCTCCTTCTACCATGTGAGCCCTGGGATCAGACTCAGCTCAACAGAACGGTGGCAATTGTCTTTGCAGGCTGAATGAATCATCCCATCGGCTCATTTTTCTGTAGTCATTCACTCCATGAGTATTTCTTGAGACTCTTTTGGTCCCCGTAGGAACAAAGATAGGGATCTTTCTCTTTGTAGAATTTGCATTCACATGGGGATTATTGGACAGGTCAAATGTTTGTTTTCTGTATATGGAGAGACCTACTACTGTAGAAACAAGACCTCTAAGGACTGAGATGGTTGTTTAAAATCCATCAGTGTGGTTGGCCTATGCTGAACCCTTCCACAATACTGATGCTGAGCTCTTTCCTATTCGGTATGTATTTGAAAACTTGTGGGGGACGGGAGCTCGTTATCAATTGAGCAAGAACATTCAGTTCCTGAGTTACCTTTCCTTCCCTGGAATTCTTGCCCTAAGTTCTTGTTACAGACCTGATGAAAGCCTCTTCCCTCGGAGAGCTCTGAAATGCACACGGCATGGTTCAGACTGCTATTCCACCTTCTCTTCCCAGGGTGAAGACGCTACCTTAGGGACTGATTTTGTGTGCCCTCCCTGTTCTGATTACCACTCTTCTCTGAGTACCTTTCATATTATAACTGTAAAAATACCAAGGAAGAATCCAGTCAGTCATTCACATGAGCCAGACACTGTATTGGGGGGAAAAAAAGATCACCTCCTTCCCTAGTGACTTACTTAGGGTTACTATTGTTGAGATGAAACCCCATGATCAAAAGCAACTTGGGGAAGTAAGGATTTATTTCACTCACAGTTCCCCAAAATAGTTCATCATCTAAAGCAGTAAGGGTAGGAACTCAAACAGGGCAGGAACCTAAAGCGACGGGCTGATGCAGAGACCATGGAGGGGTGCTGCTTACTGACTTGCTCCTCATGGCTTGCTCAACCTGCTTATAGAACCCAGGACCACCAGCCCAGGAATGGCACCACCAACAATGGGCTGAGCTCTCCCACATCAATCACCAATCAAGAAAATGCCCTACAGGATTTTACCCACAGTCTGATCCTGTGGAGGCATCTTCTCACCTGGAGTCCTCTCTTTCCAGATGGCTCCAGCCTGTGTCAAGTTGACCCAAAACAAGCCAGCACACTAGATGTTTTCTTTCTGTTGAGGCCCTGCTCTTGATCTGGTGGCCAAGAGCATAAATGCTCAGGAGACCATAATTTCATACAAGTCTTCATAGGGAAAAATCACTTTTTTATGTTTACCTGAGTTTATTGCTAGCTACCAGCAATCCCCACCCCTTTTTTATTACTTTCTTTTATATATATGATATTCTGACAACTCCCTACTTTTTTCATTTTCCAATTACATCTTCCTCCTGTCTTTTGATTCTTCTTCCTCCCTCTCAGTTCATATCTAAACTCACCTTCCTGCATGCAGAGTAAAGCTAATAGCCATTTGTGGCTCAGTTTTACTCAGATCAGATACATCAGTGTCATGGAATCAAAGTAAGAGAGACAATTTAGTCTGAACCCACACACGCTTCTGTCATTTGCCCCAGCCTGGACTTCTGCCTGTTTCGCCTTTCCTATTTGTCTTTTGCTTACTTTCATGACCTCATCAGACCTCCACGTCCACCTCAAGCATTTCCTACAGTGACCTGGAACATGTGTTTCCTGCCGTAGCCACAGTGGTAAACAACTCCTGGTGGACTGGGGAGCAACTCAGAGAGGAACCGGAAATGCTCTCTGTAATTTAAACTCCCCAAAGGAGAGATCACAACCTGGTGCTTGAGAGCAGGCACACCCTGTGCTCACTGGCTCTAAGCCTCAGACCCAGAGTCCCTCTGCTGGGCTCTGATAACCATTGCATTTTACTTTAGACGGAATCAAACTTCTCTTGAATAATTAAACACATCCAAGAATACCAGCAGATACGAAGTGGGGCTTCCTATCCCACAAAAGACAAAACCAGCCCTAGAGGAAGAATTTTGGAGGTGAAGATGATCTCTAAGACCAAGTGTTACCTTGGTGTTTACTCAGATGAAGAACCTGGACCCAGAGAGCAAGGCTATATTAGGGGCTGAGTAGAGAAAAGAACTTTGGACTCCAGATTTGGGGCTGATCCTCTCTCCTCTCCCCGGGGTCTGGCTATTTGATCTCACACCAGACTCGCGTGCCTTCACCAATATTCCAGTCCTAGGGGCTCCAGGCAACAGCTATCATGGAAAGCATAACCTAGAAACAAAGTCAGACAAACAAATGCCAGCTGGGTGCTTCGGAATGGAGCCATTTGCTGGCGCCTTCCCTTCTAGGGCTGGTTACCAGAGGAGTGGCTCCAGAGGGATAATATGTTCCTATTTTTTCCCTTCTAATCCAGGACACCTGTCCCTTCTTTGGGGAATGTGCAACATTCGAGGCTTCGCAACATGTGACCAACCACCTGTTGTTCATGCCTTTCCAAATTGGCCTTTCCAAATTGGTTTGGAGCCAGCCAACTGGACCCCCACCCATTATAAAATGTGGGTATTAGCAACATTAGTGTGCTAAGTTTGAAGGGTCTCAAGCCTCCGAGGAATTATCAGGTCAAGACAATGCTCCCAAGCAGAATAGACACCATGACACCTCCTCCCCTTTAATGCAATAGCTCTGATAAGTCTTAATTCTCTCTTAAGTCTTTGAGGAGAAAAGAAAGCTGAGGTTAACCATGGCTTGTCATTTTCTTTCACCCCCCCCCCCCCGCCATTCATCCATTCAACAAATATTTATTGGCCACCTGCTCTGTGTCACTCACGGCTCGTTGTCTGTTCATCTTTGCACCCTGCAAACCTACGGGCTTCCACTAAAGGCAAACTCTATGCGGATGCTGTGGGAGACAGACCCGTGGATAAAGCTCAATCCTTGATATACTTAGGGGGGGGGCAAATTCACAAGCTAATATGACTTGAGACTGTATGTGTGAAGAGACCTCAGAGAACTATGGAGCCCCAAGGAGGAAAAAGTCACCCCCAGCTGACAGGTAAGGAAGTTCACGAGGATGCCGTGTGAACTTAGAGGCATAGGAGGATTTAGACACCCTGAAAACCTGTGTGTGTAGTCAAATTGGTACATTAATGGCTCCCCAAGACAACAGGAAGCTAAGAAAGCCGGGACACAAAGTTCTCCTCCTGACTGATGTGTGTGTAACGTACATACACATGCTGTCAAACCGAGGTAAAGCGGGGTCTGGTCACTGTCAGCTTTGAGAGATCTGAGTCTGTTATTTTCCTGGTCCCTTTAGGTTCTGAGGTTTGGCACCCGATCTGCAAGCAGGCAGCCAGGGCCGAGAAGAAGCTCAAGGTAAGAGGCATGGTCTTCCATGCTACCTTTTGCCACAGGTTGGGAAAGCTCTGCTTTCATGCAGAGAGTACCAGTTAAATGTGTGTCGATTTCTGAGGGCTCCCTGATGGGAAGAGTTGCTTCAGGAAGCTTGGGTAGATTAAGATCTTGTACATGAAAGAACCTTGAAAACAATAAAGGACTTGATGCACGGAAGATTTGGAAGTGTATCTAGGGTGGGTGAGATTATAATCGTACCAATGCCGGCCAAGATGGCAGCCAATCTGAGGCGCTTATACCATGGTTTTTCCCTAGCCTAGGGTTACTTATTAACAATTATAGTTGCTATCATCTCAGTAATTGACAGTTTGCAGAATGTCTTCATAGCTCCTCCCTGGCTGGATTACTTCAACCTCCTGAGGCAGAGGAGGGGGGCAAGGAATTGTATCTCTACTTTGCCTGTGAGAAAAATCAAGTCTAAAGAGAGTCATTTGACAGTAATGATGCAGCCAGGCAGATGCAGAGTGCTGTCCCCAGGCGCACAGCAGACCAGCTGAGACCCTGGTCCCTCAGAATTTCTGCACTGTGACAAATGCCAGGAAGGCCTGTGAAGCTGAGTCCCTGGTACTGAAGGAGACGGGGTTTCCCAGACTGCAGGAAGAGGTTGAGCTCCTGGCTTCTTCGTGCTGCAGGAGAGGTTCCTAAGATGTGTGTTGGGGTCGGGGAGCAACACGAGCTCTAACGTGCCTTTCTGTTCTCATCTCTGCTGTCAACTTGACCCCTTAAGAATCTCTTACATTACTAGAATCTTCTCAACAACAACAACAAAACCCCACAGGTGCACAATTTCTGATCAGCTAATTAACCCTCTCCTGTGCCATTTCATCCAGCTAATGGCAGAGCTGGTCCTATCGATGTGTGATTTCTTTTCACCCATCTGGGACTCCCCACTCTGTGCTTTCTAAGGTCTGCTCCCGTTAAAGTACAAGAAGACCTAGCTGTCATTTTTCTCAGTTTCCTGTCTGGAGAATTTCCCAAACCTGAGTTCTCCTTTCAAACCCTGAGACCTTTTTTGCTGCATCTGTGTGCCACCTCTTTAATGTCAGCACCCATTCCTTCTTTTCCTTCCTCTAAAGCAACTCAACTCACTTTCATTTAGCTGAGCTGATTTTAAAATAGAACCCTGTGGCTGCCACGGAGAGAGGAGTAACGCCGGTTATAAACACGATAAATTCCGGGATAATGAAATAGTCGTTGAAAAATGTCTTTAAAATGCTAGCTCGCGTTGCTGGCACGCTCTTTAATTCAGAGGGGAAATTAAGTGTTGTTGGGACAGCTGTTGATATGTGTTAGCACCACATCGAGAGTCCTCCTCCAGCTAATCAGGGGGCTTGAAACAAAGCGTTCCACTTCATCACTGTGTGGTGTGGTGTCATCAAGTGTTTCAGCCTTCATTCGTGTCCCCAGATCCACCTCTAGTTCTCATTCATTGCTTAGAGCCCCATTCAGAATGCTTGGAGATGGGTGGAAGCTGAGCAGTCTTGGGGCACTACCTTTTGCACATCAGGAATCTGAGATCTTTAAAATCACAAGTATTTCCCCACGGGTCTTTGGTTCAATCTTGACTTTCCCGTTACCGTGCGTTGCTCCACTCTGTGATGCACACTATTGGGGCTGGGAGCTGGCTATCCATCATGGCCACCGTGCAGAGGCAAACGTTTTAAGGTTTTCACTTAAGTTGATGTCAGTTTGCCAAGGGTCCACTGCACAGAATCAGCATGATTGCGCAAGTATGTGAGCTTCCGTTTGCTTCTGCATTGTTTACTAAGCTATCAAGGAATGAATACTAAGCACTTTAATTCATTTAAAATAAATACATTATTGGCTGAGATAACCCAAAATGAAGTTTAATGAACAACTCTCTATTTAAAATGACAGCTACAGATAACTAGAAAAAATTCATATTCTGCCCAGCATCCTGAATTTCTAGACCTGCTGGACCCCATTCACACACAGACATTGGTTGAAGGGGCAGAGATGAAAGAGGGAGGACAGAGGTAGCCAGAGTGCTTCAACAGTCCCGCTAAAGCCCCACAAGAGCTGCATTCTCTACTGTTTTCTCCCTACCAAGTCTGAACTTCTGCTTCTCACCCCTCTTGTCTTCATCTCTCCCACAGCATAGACGGACATCTGAAACTTCCATCTCACCGCCTGGGTCCAGCATTGGGTCGCCTAACCGGGTCATCTGCGTATGTATCACTTCTTAGCAGCTGAGGGGCTTTGCTTACCCCTGACCTAGCACCTGAAATGTTTTTAAACCCATTTGGGCCGTGCCTGTTCTATTCTCGGTGGCATACCAAATCTTGAGGATACAGAGGGGATGGGGAGGACGTGGACGTTGTTCTCAGACACGCAACCCAGTAAACCAAGAGCCACCGCAGTGGTTTAAAGTTCAAGACAGCGTAATGACAAAAGAAACCATCCTGCAATTCTAAAATAAATCTCGGGCACCTCCTTTCCTATTCCTTAACTGAGACCAAGCAAGACAGCAGCTAGGCGGTCAGAGTGGCAGGTAGAGGTGGAATAATATCAATATATAGGTAGTGTTGTTCAATAAAGAGATGGGAGAATGTCGATATGCAAAAAAGGGGTGGAGTTGCAACACTAAAGGAGACCTTTCTAAACATCTGAGAAGCCCAGAAACAAAGTAGACCCCTTACATGTGTCTAAGCTCCCACCTTCAGAACCATTCCCACAGGCAGAAGTGACAAGAGTTGATCTAGATGGCCTCGGGGGGTCCTGTGGTTATGTGATACATGCATTCATTCAGTGTTTGCTGAGCTTCCTGTCTATGATGAGTACTGTGCTCTGTCCTGGAGAGGTGGTGATGGACAGATGTGCTACCCTCTTGACACTGGACATACAGGCCATGGATAATCAGTTGTAACCATGACAAGTAGCAGGAGATAAAACTGTGCACTCTTATGATGCTCCCAGTGACAGAAGAGACCTGACCATCTGGAGCCAGTGGGGAAAGGCATCCCAGAGGCAGAAAGACTGAATAACAGAAGGAAGCCAAGGGAGGTGGGTGGCAGAGCCAGGGAGCAATGAGATAAGCAGCATGGCTGACCACAGGGCAAAAGAGCCAAGACCAAGAATGTGGGGGTATTGGACACAAAGGACCTGCCGCCAAGGATGGAGGCTCCACACATAATCCTCAAACCTGCCAGGCCAAGGTGGGCTTCGACACCATGGCAGGGTCATTCAGATTCACGTCCAACTTCTTTCTTTGACCCCACACAAGGCCCATTAGTGACACTATTTCCTGTCCTTTCTTCTCCTGGACAAGAGAAAATAAGAAGAGTCAATGCTACGATTTCTATATTGGTCATCACCGCCATGTGGCTGCCACAGAGAGCAAGCTACTTTGTTCCTTTCTTTTTTATTTTTTTATTTTTTGTGGTACTGGGATTAACTTCAGGGCTTTGTGCATGCCAGACAGCTGTTGAGCCAGTAAGCTATTGAGCTCCATCCCCAGGTCAAGACAAGTGACTGTGATCACAGGCTGTACTCATTGCAGATTCCTATCTAGAACATGTGAGAAACAGGCCCCGGGCACGGAGAATGGCACCTGTCGCAGCAGAATCACAGGGCTTAGTTTGGGGATCGATAGTGTGAGAAAGTTATTGGCGAGTATAAACTGGTCCCCAGAAGAGAGTTGGCTTGGTAAAGATGGCTGCAACGAGGAACATCTTTGCATTGTAGGGCTTAGTTAGCATCAGGCATTGTTTAGGAGTAGAGTTCAGACCGCAGCCTGTGACACCAGTTATGAGACATTTGTGCCTCGGTTTCCACATCTAAAGGATAGTATTTATACTTCCTTCAGAGAGGTATTGTGGTATTTAGGAGGGATCATTCTGGTAAAGCCAGAGGCCTCACAAACAATGTTGCTCAATGGGTAACCTCTGGACCCATTCTTCTTCCAACATCTACAGCTCTTCCCTTCATGCCTAATGGTGCTTTTAGTAGACACTGGAGAACGCTTGATCCTCTCGTGCCTTGGTTTTGTTCTCTCTCCTTCCTCTTCTCTCTCTTATCTTTCTCCTTCTTTCCTGCCTGTTTCCCTCTTCCCCAGGCTAAAGTGGATAATGAGATCCTTAATTACAAAGACCTGGCAGCTCTCCCCAAGGTTAAGTCCATCTACGAGGTGCAACGCCCTGACCTCATTTCCTACGAACCTCATTCCAGATACACCTCCGACGAGATGCTTGAGAGATGTGGCTATGGAGAGGTATTGCATCTTGCCCTCTCTGGGACTCTTGAAAGAGTCAAGGTGCTGCTGGGGTCCCCAGCCAACTTCATTATAGACAGCTTGGCCACCACAGTATTGGCCTCCAGACCCTCCTAACCTGGAATTTACAACTTGTAAATACCGAGAACTTTAATCCCAAAAAAAATCTGGCTTTAAATAAGGCACTAAATGTGTATTTCCATCATCTAATGGTGAGTAACAGCACACCCTGTTGACAGGACTAGGCTCTTCATTCTTCCCAGTCCCCTACTGAACCAGCACGCAAGCTGAGAGCCTAGAACTATGCGTTACTTGGGCTGTTGCTTTTCCTACAGCAGCGAAATCTTGCTGATACTCAAGCCCATGTCTCTGATCCCATACCAGGCTCAAAGGACAGTGACATTCCTAAACCCTGGTTAGGCGTGTTCTCTCCATTGTGAACTGTACTTAAAACCTCATGCCCAGAACAGGACACATATTTATGAAGATGCGGCATCAGATGGACTTAGAAACCGTTGTATGACTGCTAGGTGTGGGGATGCTCTGGAGAAGGCAGGAGAACTATTGCAGAATAGATACTGACTAGCCATGTTCCAAGAGATTTTTCTCACCCCATTCTAGACCCTTGAGCTATAACAATTGTGCAGGAGGATCCTGGCCTGGGAGTAGGCTCCCAGGTACCTGTCCCAGCTCCACCGCTCGCTAGTTTGTGTCCTTGGGCAGCGACAGGGAAACCAACAAGGGTTGGGTTCCATTGGGTTGAAGAGCCCAGGGCTGAGTTCTGGCTCCTAAAATGGACCTGGAAAAGTGAACCAAGTATTTGCAGACTCCAGTTCTGAAGCTAGAGACCAGGACCCCTGGGTCAGAGCCAACCCCCAGATGGCTTTGGTTCACTCGCAGTGTCGTTCAGAAATGTAGATTAGCTGTCACCATGTAAATGTTAGGAGATGTCACAGAAGCATCCGCCTTTCTTACTTGTCTTAGAAATTAAGAATCTGGTCAACATTGAATAGACATTCCAACATGGCTCTGCTCACAGCTGAAAACAGCAGCCCAGCTGGGTGAACTGAGTCTCCAGCTGCCATCTCCAGCTTGCTAGGCCCCTTACCATGCCAGCCCCCCCCCCCCCCCCCCCCCCCCCCCCCCCCCCCCCCCCCCCCCCCCCCCCCCCCCCCGGTTTACAGCAGTGACCTGGTCCTTGCTCAGCCCTTAATGTGAATACTACTCCCCTAGACTTTGTCTTTGTGAACCACAGAGGAGATGTGAACTAAAAGAGAGAGAGACAGGGAGGGTTGAGAAAATAGCTCTGAGCTCCAAGTCAGGGAATCTAGGTTCAGATCAAGACTAGCCATTTCCTGAGAGGCCTCGCATGACCCCGAGCTCTCCCATTAGGAAGGGAGTCTTCCTACCACTTTCCAGGAGTCTGGCATTCTTGAATTCCAAGTGAGGTGTCCTCTGGAGAGGGTCCCCAGGGGCAGCTGCAGGCCTTCTCCTTAATGCCATTTTACCATTTAACCATGTCCTGTCCCTTCCTCTTGCCCTCCTCTCTACCTTCGCTCCCTCCATGGCTGCCTTCAAATTCTTCGCTTTTAAAGTCGCTGGGAACATTATCTCCTTACTCCCAGGTAATTAATCTGATACATGATGTGTTTTTAAAATATATCAAAAGCAGTGTTTATTTATGATAACCAAGAAGGGCTCCCTGGTCAGCCATCTCCTGTACCAGAGGGGCCTGATCCCTTAACCCAAAATGTTTCCCCCCAAAAAATCCCATGTGCCTATCAGACCCCTTTATGTCTCTGGAATTGCCAGTCAGACTCCAGACACTGCCCATGGGTTCTAACCAAGGGATCTGAGCAATGCATGAAGGCCTGAGAACTCTCTCCCACCCTCCGCAGGTTGTGTGATGACTTAAGCCTGGGCCCCTAGAATTCCAGATTCCATAGCATGCCCCCGCACACACTAAAAAAAAAAGACTTGCACCACAGACCTTGCTCACAGCCCCACCTCTTCCCCCCAGGACATCTATGAGAACCTGGACCTCCGGCAGAGAAGGGCCTCCAGCCCAGGATACATCGATTCCCCCACCTACAGTCGGCAAGGCATGTCTCCCACCTTCTCCCGCTCACCTCATCACTATTACCGTTCAGGTAAGGCAAAGGAAGCCCCTACGAGAATTGAAGAGTCTGGACAGTGTGATTACTTCCTGTCTCCGGGCTTTGGGACTTTCTGGAAGCCCGTGGCCCCTCTAGTGACTAGTGGACCTAGACTGAGTCCCTAAGATGGGTATGCCACACTGAGAAGCAGCAAGAACGTAGGTAGGGAACTGCCAGGGGAGGGAGTGTCAGGCAGCCCAGTGACCCTGGTTAGAGGAAGTTGCCTCCATCTCATTCTTCAGCCTGTACAACTACAAGAAGAAACACATAGCTCCAAGGTTGGGGTCTGGTCTTCACCTGAGGGCCCCACTCAGCCAGTTAAAGTATATACAGTCACCCTGAGGTAAGGAAAGTAACAAGCGTTTGAATGGAGAAAATGGGAACCTGAGGGAGGAGCCTATGCAGGGTGGGGTGGGAGGATAAGCCGGTAAAGGTATCTTCTTGGCAGACTCAGACTTTGGGGTCAAATGAGGGGAAAGGTCAGCTCGTTTCTGCCGACGTGGTGCATGAACGCACAAGCTGCTTCCACTCTGGAGCTGAGCACGCTGGGACAGCCAGCCCACCCCACCTCTGCTGCCATCACCTCACTGCTTCCTTCAGTGCTGTCTCATTTAATGCCTGTTTTCTCTGTGCTTCTGTTCTCTCTGGGGACCACTGCCTGCATGCTCCAGGGCCTGAGAGTGGCCGGAGCTCTCCATACCATAGCCAGTTAGATGTGAGGTCCTCCACTCCAACCTCTTACCAGGCTCCCAAGCACTTTCACATCCCAGGTAGGCGCTGCCAGCCCGCCAGCCCCAGCATGAGTGCATGCTCCCTGGGGGGGGTGCCAGATGCCTGAGCCACCTGCTTGATGCTGCTCAGGCACTGAGGAGAAGTCTGTTCCTGGGGGAGCCTTCCCTAATCAACCATCCATGCTAACTCATCCTTCCGGTCCTAACATACCTATGGGCTTTGGTCTCTTCTCCATATAACCAACCTTGATCAGGACTACAAGGAAGGGACAGGGAAGAGAGAAATGTCCAAGATTTGGCTTCTTACATTGCTGATTGACAGTAAAGACAAAATGGGGAAAGGTGCTTGCCTCCGGATTCTTTAGCTTGAACCACGACGCCTGTAAGCTGATGGTCTGGGGTCCATCCCTTGTCTTCTCTGGATAGCCAGATAGTATTCTGGTCCCTGAGGTTGCAATTGAGCTCACTCCAGCCCAGATCTTATCTTTGTAGTGAGTATACATAAATGTATTAAGAGAACCAGCTGCCTAGAAAGCTCAATTGTTAGTGTGATGCTTGTAATGTGCGGATAGAGATGGTGCATGAATGAAAAAAAAGTTAAAGGGTAATTGAAGATGTTAATAACTACTTTATATTTTATATTAATATATTTTAATATATAATATATAGTATAAGGTATACCATATTAATATACTGTATTTTATAATAGATCATATAAACAGGGATAAAAAGCCCAGAGCATTGTACAAGAGCGACTAGAGTAGGGGAGGTTTTGCTAGGTGAGGTGAGACGAAGGAGACTTGGTGGAGGAAGTGACATTAAAGTTGGTGATGTGACAATCCTAGAAGAAACACCCCCAGGCAGAGGGAGCAGCAGGAATAAAGTCAGTGTGCCCAGAGGAGGTGAGAGGAAGCCAGAGGCCTGGTCTTGTAGGTGTGGCCTTATAGGAAACCCCACCATGGATGTTGGAGTTGTCTTTCTATTGCTATGATAAAGACCATGACCGAAAGCAGCTAGGGAGAGAAAAGGGTTTATTTACAGGTTAGAGTTGATCCTACAGGTTATAATCAGTTATTGAGGAAAACCAAGACAAGAACTGAAGAGAGACCATAGAGGAATGCTGCTCACAAGCCTGCTCTACTAGGTTGCCCAGCTTCCTTTTTTATACAACACAATGCCATTTGCCCAGGTGTGACGTTGCCTACAATGGACTGGGTCCTCCAACATCAATCATTAATCGATAAAAGGCCCTCATGGGTTGGCCCACAGGCCAGTCCAATGGAGATAATGTCTCAATAGAGCTTCCCAGTTCCCAGATGTTGCTATCTTATATCAAGTTGACAAAACTCAACAAGCTCACTGGGTTACAATAGGACCAGGTCTAGACCTGGTCTTCCAACTTTGTAGCCCCCACTCAGTCACCCTCAAGAACTTATCCTGTTGTTTCACTAACCCCATTCCCAACAGTTCCTGAGGGGCCCTGTATGTCTGACTCTAAGGGAGGGCAAGGTAGACAACTCTGCAGCTCCCTGAGGACTCTTGCACGGAGTGAAATGCACCCACTAGGGGGAGGAGCAGGGCACACTTGTGGCACCAGGCCCTGCTTAGCCTTCCCCTACCTCTTGCATGCCCATCACTTAACCCACCTCCCTTTCCCTGGTACCATTTTGTGCATCTGCCCTCTCCGGCTTTACTGGAACCTGTCGGATGGGAGTGAAAGCTCAGCTTTGGGAAAGGAAACCTGCCTGGGGGAAGAAGGTGGCCTCCTGGGGAAAGTTGCTGGCTGGCTCTCTGTTCTCAGATCAATTGACCAAGTGCTGTCTCCTCCCTGTCTCTCTCTCTCTCTCTTTCCTCCCCACTGTTCCTTCCTGGTCTCTGGCAGCTGGAGAAAGTAACATCTACCGAAAACCCCCGATCTACAAACGGCATGGTATGGTCAGAGGCAGACAAAGTTTGGCCAAACACAAGGGGGGGGGGGTGTTATAACCAATACAGATGGCTATGCTCAGGTTTCCAGGAATGAGATGATGCAAGACCACAACATAATCCTTCTTGCTACCCCCCAATCCCTCGGGGTGACTTTGTGTGTCCATGTCATTTCAAAAGAACAAGGAATTATTCATGTCCCCTAAATCCTTTCTTACCACCTCCCCAACCTACCTTGCCTGCTCTCTTCTGCTCTGAATTCTGTGATTAGAGCAATCCCGGGAAATGCCTGCGTCCCTATGAGAGCTGCACTCAGAATGCTGATAATTCAAATTGTTCATTAGAATTCTGTGAGAGGCATAGATTCCTATACCGAACTTGGGGCCTCTGCTTTAAGCTTTTCTGAGTGTGGATGGAAGCTCAGAGATGAGAAAGGAACAGGAAAGCACTTCCTCCTTTCATATTTTGTTTCCCTGGTGCTGGAGGTCAACCCTGGGGCCTTGTGCATGCTAGTCAAGCATCCTACCTCTCGGCTGCTTCCCTGGGCCCTCATTCACTCTTTTATTTGGTGCTTTTTAAACAATGGTCTGTGGAACTCCTGTTCCTTGGAAACTAATTTTAAAAATATAGACTTGCTGGCTTCCTCCATGACCCAGACTCTTTAAAATGAGAAAGGCTGGATGCACAGCCCAGGTGTCCTCTCTTAACTCCTGTACCCATGATTCTGCTTGAGCTCCTGTACCAAAGTCGCCCATGCTGGGACTTCCTGCACTCATTAAACCTCAGGTGACTGCGCATATCTTTCCCTTTGGGGAGGCAGAGAACGACTGCTAGCCAGGCTGCTGGGCATTTGCTCACTGTTCTAGTGCGGTAACAGAGGAGAGCATAGACTTGGATTCGAGCTTGGAGATGGCAGGAACCATCCTGGACCCTGAGCCTAGCTAATCAGATAGATGGAGGAAGGGTCAGTGCAAGTGCAAGTAGTGGCTCTGGCCACCAAAGACCCTGGATATTACTTTAGAGTTGGTGGCGAGGCAGAGTCTCGCTAAGAGGCTTACCTTAAACTTGCCATATAGCCCCAGGCTGGCCTCAAACTCCTGGTTGTTCTAGACATTCTTGATGAATAGAACTGCAGATATGCACCTCCATGATCTCACTAAGATCCTGCATTTAAACAGTCATCTTCCATCTTCAAAGCTGGTGGAACAGAGGCCCCACAGTGAGATGTAAGCCTGTTGTATCTGTGCATGTGGCTAGAAATAAAGGTGCTCCCAAAGATGGTTTGACCCTCCCAAAGAGCATTAGAAAAGGCCCCTGAGAACCATGTTTCTTAGGACCCTTCAGGTTTTCTAAGAGGGTTCCAAAAGATAGAACCAAAGCAGGCTCAGGAGTCCAGGATGAAGGTGGCTGCATCATTAAGAGATGGCAAAAACACCACCAACCAATGGAAGGCGTTCAGGACTCAAGTTAAAGGACCAGGTGCAGCAGCAAGGGAGTGATGCACAGTCTTCAGCTGAATGAAAGCCCATTGATGCCAGGACCCTCTGCTCTGGTCCTCGGATCATAGACCTTGTCCCTGCTCTGGCCCTCAGATCACAGATCTTGCCTCCCCGTAGCTCTTCCTCAAAGGTGATTGGAGAGCCACACTTGTTTATCCAGCCCTGCTCTCTGTCCTGTCCGCCTGTCTCCAGTCTACCCCCACTGTAAAGTTACTGCCCTGTGAATACTGTTTCTGGAGTAAGTACCCTGGTCACCTCTGCTATACAGGATTACTTCCGGTGGAAGGATGCATGATGCCAGGGAGAACCTGAGCTACCACACCACCCTAGTACTTAGTTTAGAGATGCGGAAGCTGAGACAGAGAGAAGGGTAGTATTTACCCAGGACTGTGTTCAAATCAAGTGGCCTTAGCTGTAACCAGACCCCCACTCTCCTTACTCCCTGTCCAGGGCCCCTTCCTTTGCATGTAGCCTCCTCAAACAGGACATGAAGACAGCTGACCTAACTCAACAAGTTTCTTGGCCATGCCTAGCAATTCCTTCCTCGATGTGGTTCAAAGCCATGATAAAGCAGGCTTCAAAGATTTCCGGAAGGAAAGGGCCAGGCTCACCCGGAAACTTTGAGTTTTACTCTGAGGATATGGTTTTAATGTGTACCATGAGAATCCGTGGAATGTTCAGGAAGAAGCCGCAGTCTAGTCAGTTCTGGTACACATTGGCTGGGTGGTCTTGATCAAGCCCTTTCCCGTCTCTGGCCTCAAATGTAAAATGAGGGGCAGGCCCAGGGCTTCTCCAGCTCAGGTGTTTCATGTCCCAGGCTCTCCTACCAGAGACCTCTAACCTTAAATAGCCTCTGCCTCCCGGGACTGAAGCTTGACAGAGACATAGAAGGGATGCTCCAAGCTGACACTCTGCCTTCTTGAAGTGCTGTCCTTGGGTCCTTTGCAGGTGATTTGTCCACAGCAACCAAGAGTAAGACAAGTGAAGACATCAGCCAGGCGTCCAAGTATAGTCCAGCCTATTCACCAGACCCCTACTATGCTTCAGAGTCCGAGTACTGGACCTACCATGGGTCCCCAAAAGGTAGTATTAACACCGAGGCCCAAGGGCCAGCACTCTACCATCCATATGGGGAGCAATCACCAGCTCTTCCCACAATCATTTGTTGAGGATGCTGGGAGGGGATGTGACTGATTCTTACTCCTTCCACAACGGGTGTTAGGTTCCAGCCCCAGACCCTAGGGATACACTGGGGAGCAAAACACGAGTTCCTACAGTTAGGAAGGCAACCTAGTGTTTCAAGGTAGAAGATATAAACCTTCCAGATGCCATGACACTCCACCACACCCCAAGCTGTTCCTCTCTGTTGTGTGGAGGAGTTCCCATCTATATCCACTTGGATGCAACATTTGACTTCACTAATGAATCCCCTTTCTAAACAGAGCTTTATACAAGCTCAGGGGTGGCTTCATTACCTCCTCAGAAGCCTCCACTTAGAGAAAGAGAATGACACAGATCAACCACAATAGGAGGGGGATAGCAGCAGTGAGGATGCCCACATGAAACCGGGGGATGGAAGGAGGGAGGAAGAGAGCCAAAGGGCTGAGCAGAGAGCATACACTGGAACTAATCTTGCCTGGCCTCTACAGTGCCCCGAGCCAGAAGGTTCTCGTCAGGAGAGGAGGAGGATTTTGATCGCAGCATGCACAAGGTGAGCGGGCTACAGCATTGAATCAAAGACTTAGACGAGTTTTTTTTTTCATTTGCAAGTGACAGAAACCAAGTTCAAACCCATCTCAGAAGAAATGCATAGTTGCCAGGCAGTGGTAGTGCATGTCTTTAATCCCAGCACTCGGGAGGCAGAGGCAGGCGGATCTCTGTGAGTTCGAGGCCAGTCTGGTCTACAAGAGCTAGTTCCAGGACAGGCTCCAAAGCTTCAGAGAAACCCTATCTTGAAAAAAAAAAAACTTCCACATGGTGTTTCTATTATGCTTAAGCATGTGAGAAGTGACGCAAGCTCCAACATACAGGAAGAGTTGCATAGGATATATACAAATACTATACCACTTTCTATAAGTGACGACTTCAGTGTATGAGGATTCTCATTGCCCTGGAGTCAGGGAGAGTTCCTAAAGCAAATGCCCTGTGGCTACTGAAAGATGACTGGGCTTCAGAATAGTTAATTTTTAGATTTTTTTAATTTCAAGTAAAATGGGGAGATGAACCAGTGGCTGCAGGCAGAGCAATGCGGTCTTGTCACCAGTTAGGCCTGTTTGGGGACACACCTCCAGGGCCTTACCCAGACCTCAGGACTATTCGGGGAGCAGAGATGAACTCACAGGAGTTCACAAGGAGTCAAGTTCTGGAAGGGTTGGCAGAGGCTCCTGTCAGGCACAGTGGCTCAGTCATTCTTGATATTGCCCCATTGCCTCCTCCTAACTTCGTGTTCCTCCCCGCTAGCTCCAGAGTGGGATTGGCCGGCTGATTCTGAAGGAAGAGATGAAGGCGCGGTCAAGTTCCTATGCGGATCCTTGGACCCCTCCACGGAGCTCCACCAGCAGCCGGGAGGCCCTGCACACCGCGGGCTATGACATGTCCCTCAATGGCTGTAAGCACTGCGCTGTCCTGGCATCTCTTGGCTGCTTGCTTTGGGCCAGGCCCCTGGGAGGCACAGTCACCACGTCTTCTTCCTCCCTGCAGTAGGAAACCGCGGCACAGAAACCCAAAATCACTGAATTCATAGAACTGGATCTCCCTCTCCCTGGGATTGTGTTGGACCATAGCCAACCCCCAGATTCCATCTTTTGATCTAATGAAGGGATCAGGAGAGGCCATGAAGGTAGTCCCAGTCTCTGTCACTTTCCTGACTCTTTTGCCATCCTCCTGGGCCTCTTCTGAGTGTGGAACACAGACTGGGCCAAGGGCTAGATGGGGCACCAAATGAAACCATGCTGTCCTGAGTAATCACACCCCCTCTTGGACCATCTGGAGCCTTGACTTCTAATTAAGTTTATATATNAGGAATCTCTGAATACTCTAGTGCCAGTCTGTGGAGATTCTAATATGTTTTTAATTCACCTCCTTCTTGTTATTAACAGATGTTCCAGCCAGTGGGATGTACTTCATGACATATGAATGGCTTAAAAATACAGGGCCTCTTTTCTAGGTGATGACCCTCCCATCACTTAGAAGTAAATGAGCAGAACTTTGTCAAGTCCTTTCTCACACAGCTCCTTCCTATCCTCGGAGAGGTGCACCCGCTCCTTCCTTACTCACCTCTGTGGAGTTCAGTCCTACCAAGGCTGTCTCCAGACACTGCTTGCTGGGTGATAGAAGGCATTGTTGGTTAATCTACTATGCTCCGGATCTTTGTAGACATCACTGCTGGTCCTTACAATCCACACAGTGTAGGAAACACTCAATAGATGAGAGAAGTCGCATTAATCCACTTGCCTATGGCCAGAAAGCCAGGAAGTGACTAAGCCATGGTCAGACCCGATTTGGAGGGAACCTAAGGTCACGAACTTTCACCTCTTCGCCTTGCTAAATCTTAATTTTGGTGAGACTGAAGATGGCATGGGATGGTGAAAAAGCCAGTTTTATGGAGTATTATGTATGGGTTAGGGACTTGCTAAATACCTTCTTAAGAGAATGTGTGTGTGTGTGTGTGTGTGTGTGTGTGTGTGTGTGTGTGTGTACACTTGAATGCAGGTGCTCATGGAGGCCAGAGGCATTGGATCCCCTGCATCTGGAATTAGTTACTTTTGCGACCCCTGATGTGGGTAATGGGAACTGAACCTGGGTCCTCTGCAATAACAATGTATGCTCTTAACCACTGAGCCATCTCTCCTGCCATTGTGCTAAGTATCTTACCGTGTTGTGTGATGTTGTCTTAGTTAGGGTTACTCTTGCTGTGATGAAACACCATGGCCAAAAGCAACTTGGGGAGGAAAAGGTTTATTTGGCTCCGATTTCTACATCATAGTCCATCACTGAAGCAAATCGGGGCAGGAACTCAAGCAAGGAAGGCAGGAGCTGATGCAGAGGCCATGGAAGGGTGCTGCTTACTGGCTTGTTCCTCGTGGCTTTTTCAGCCTGCTTTCATTTTTCTTTCTTTTTTTTTTCATAAAAGAGTTTCTCTGTAACTTTGGAGCCTGTCCTGGAACTAGCTCTTGTAGACCAGGCTGGCCTTGAACTCACAGAGATCCACCTGCCTCTGCCTCCTGAGTGCTGAGATTAAAAGCATGCACCACCACTGCCTGGCTCAGCCTGCTTTCTTAAAGACCCCGAACCACCAGCCCAGGAGTGGCACCACCCGCAGTGAGCCAGACCCTCCCCATCAATCACTAATAAAATAACGTCCTACAGGCGTGCCTACAGACCATTCTTATCGAGGCATTTTTCTCAACTGAGGTTCTCTCCTCTCAGATTACTCTGGCTTGTGTCAAGCTGACATAAAGCTAGCCAGTACATATGTATTCTTTACAGTATCCCTACAAAGGATAAACTGTCACTCCCATTTTACAAAAGAGAAACTGACGGGTGATTAAATAATTTTACTGATAGAATATATGAAGGGCAGAGAGCCTGTATGCACTGATGAGACCATTTCCCTGCCTAACCACGTGGGGCGCTGTTTTCCATCTCTGGCTCTGGCTCTGCAGGGCACCAAGACTGCTTCAAATTCACATGTTGATTAGGGGTGCCACTGAGTGAAAAAGAATGTGCCTAGCGTGTGTGAGGCCCTGTCCTCCATCACCAGCTCAACTCAAAAACCGTCATACATACATGCACACAAACGTGCATGCATATATACATACACATCTCAGCTACATCTATATAACAAATATCCCAGAACATGTGTTCCCTGACAGTGCTAAGAACTGGAGTGGGGCGGGGTGCAGGGGGGAGGATAGGAAGAGTGGTGTTTAGATTCGACAGTAGGAAACTGGCTATCTGGAAAGGAGTGCTGATTGAACTTCCCCACTCCCTAGCAGCCGGAGTCTTTGAGTATGAAGCCATGTTTCTTTGTAAGCAATAAATGTCTCCACTGTGCCCGTCTTTTACCCGTGAGCACTAATCGGGGCTTTTCTCCCTTGCAGCTCCTCGTTCACACTACCTGGCTGACAGCGGTATGTTCTGCCTGCCCCACCATAAGCCCCTGGGTCTTGTAAGGACAGAGCCATGGCAATCGCAGCTCCCCATAGCTCTAATGACAGAGTCCTGGTATAAGTTAGTCCGCCCATCGTCATTGTCGGATTGTGGGTCTCCACTTGGGGTACTCCCAAAGGGAAGGAAAGGTCATATGTCTCTTGTACCCACCTGGGAACCTGCCTTTCTGGTTCTGAGCTTAACTCCAATTCTGAGGCCTGTGGTCAAAACACAGGCATCTGTCCTAAGAGGATAGATGTGTACAAGCCAAGGCCGGAGCGTCTAAAAAGGTGCTTCTGGTTGGCCTAGAATTCTGCTGGAGCAGGGTTCCCCAAGACAATCTGGGCAACTTGCAGAGAATTTGGTATCCCCTGGATCCCACCCCACTTCCCACTAGGTCAAGGGTGATATTGGTCAAATGTCCCCAGGGAGAGTAACCTTGGCTGGGGGATCTGATCATTGCTCTGACTCCTTTTTAGATCCCCTCATCTCCAAATCTGCCTCACTGCCTGCCTACCGGAGAAATGGGCTGCACAGGGTAAGGGGGCCGTGCTGGGAGCTTCCGCCCCAGATGCTAACGCTTTAGCCCTCATGACGACCTGGAGAACCGAGGAGAGGCTTTGGGGTGGAGGTGGGGTTCCTGAAAGAGGTGGTAACTTCCCCCCCTCCCCTCTGGTCACCCAGTAGAGAGAGGTCCCAGGGAGAATCTGGTGAAGAACTCTGTACCACACACTGGCTTTGCCAGTGCCAACTAACTTCACACCCCAGGCAAGGTCGTTGCTAATGTGAACCCCATTTTGTGGGTGGAGCAATAAAGGCAAAAGGAAGGGAGGTGCATGCTTCAGTTCTCCCACCCAGTGAGAGGGAGAGCCAGGATTCAAGCCTTCTGGGCTCTCGAGCAGTTCAGAAAACCTCCATTTAAACAGTGAGCTAGTTAAAGGCTGGAGGAGGGTGGGGGCGGTCCGCCACTGAACAAGTGTTGGGGACAGGATGCAGAGACAAGTATTGAGTTTTAAGCCCTGACTAAGAGCCACTGTTCCAGGTTCTGAGGGTCGACCCTACAGCGAAGGAAGTCACTATTCCTGTGAAGTTCACAGTTCTAGTTAGAAGATGAACAAGAAGTAAGAAAATGTAGCCGTTGGGTGGCCAGAGGTGCCAAATCGAGAAAAAATAGCCAGGGGGGTAGAAAGTCTATAAGACAGGAATAAATTTAAACAAAGGTCTGAGAGCAATATGGGGAGGGACCTCGACACTTGAAGATCTGCAAGAGCCTTTTAGACACAGAGAAGTATAACACCTAAGTCCATGCTCCAGAGGAGAGCCTCGGTCCCAGGTCACGTGGCCAGAATGGAAAGAGGGAGGGCCAGAAGCCAGATGGAAATATCACTAGAAGCCATATACCTCAGGAAGGAACTTCAGAGGGGGCCTGTGAACCCAGCTTGGATTTTTAGATGGATCTGTCTGTCAGCTGTGTAGAGTAAACACTGTAAGCAGGTCAAGAGTGGGAGCCGTAAACCTACTTATAGCTTAAGACCATCTTAGGGTGGGACCCGTAAAGCGGCAGGCACCACTGGAGAGGATGGTATATATGGCCTTTGCCTAGGGAGAAGCCTGTCTTCAGTGCACTTGGGTCAGCATACATTCATTCAGCAGATTTACTCAAAGCCTCCTCCCACATGCCAGGTTCTTCTTGGAATGCTTGGGACCTGCAGTTGATCAAAACAAAAGATCCCTGCCCAGGGTCTGGGAAGATAGCTCAGTGGTTAAGAGCACAGGATGCTCTTGCAAAGGACCCAGGTTCGGTTCCCAGCACGTACACAGTTGCTCACAACTCTCTATAACTCCAGTTCCAGGGGCTCCAAGGGCCCTTTCTAGCTTCCACAGGCACTAGTTACACACACACACACACACACACACACACACACACACACACACACACACGGTGCACGAACATACCTACAAGCCAAACACTCATATACACTTTTAAAACTTCCCTGTCTCTTCAGAGTTTAGATTCTTGTAGGGGAAAACAAAGTATTAATAAGTAACATCAGGAAATAACTCCAATATATACAATGTTGGAAGACAGTATTATAAGAAAAGAAAAGGGATGAGCAGGATAAAGAAGGTTGAGATTTCATGGAAGGGGTGACTTCCAGTTGCTAATAGGGCTGTCTCTCAGGAAAGATCTTGTACTAAAGGGCCATTCCACTGAATTAGTGGACCTGTACTGGTTGCCCACTGCATGCTGGGACTAAATTGCAGGAAGAGCTACATTTCCCTAAGTTGAGACTGAGACCACTGAAAGAGTCCCAAGAGTCCCGTGCCTCGGGCCTGGTCCACATTCTGGAGGTGAGCAAGTGGCTTCTGGGAAGCAGTGAGCTTCTCAGGCCAGCCCAGCTCTTTGTTCCCTACAGACACCCAGCGCCGACCTCTTCCACTACGACAGCATGAACGCGGTCAACTGGGGCATGCGAGGTGAGCACTGCTGGCTGGAGCTGCAGAGGCAGGCCATCCCGAGACTTCCCAGAGACTCCCGATAGAGCACTGACTTGCTTGACCTGCAGACCATGGCTACCGGTTCTGTCCCCAGGATGGGCTCTGTCTAAACCCTGAGTTCCCACTCCCAGATGCTTCCACTCTCTCCTTTTCCTACTCTTCCCTCATCCTCTCTAGTCCCCAACCTTGTGTGCTTTCAAGGCCTTCTGTCCCATCCTGGCTCTCAGAGCATCTGAAAGTGCTGATTACCCTGTAGTGCTGGCTAACGCTTCCAGTCAGACATGGTAGAGGGGGGAAACAATCGGAGCCAACTGCTCAGTGTTCCCAGAAAATTCCCCATGAGATTCTCTGCCAGGAAGACTCTCATGCCAGATTCCCCTGGCTGCTTGGAGCAGGCCCTGGCTCAAGTGACCATGATACGGCCTCCAAGGACCCCTAGATGATGAAGATCATGTCCCCAGGCTCCATTGCCTCAGATTCTTCCTCCTATTGTGCATAGCTCGAAGGCTACTTTCCTCACAAAACCATCTCAAGAACAGCCACCTCAGCGGGGCGGTGGTGGCGCAAGCCTTTAATCCCAGCACTCGGGAGGCAGAGGCAGGCAGATCTCTGTGAGTTCAAGGCCAGCCTGGTCTACAGAGCTAGTTCCAGGACAGGCTCCAAAGCTACAGAGAAACCCTGTCTCGGAAAAAAAAAAAAAAAAAAAAAAAAAAAGAACAGCCACCTACCATGCTCACACCAGCCCTGATGCTCCCCATGATAAACTCAGGAAGAGAGGGGTTCCCATGGCTTAGAGCAATCACTGTATGGAGACCAGATCCATAGGACACTGAGACAGAAGCCAAGGTAGTGATGTACGTCCCAGAGGCAGGTTCTGGTTGGTACATGTCTCTTTTCTCTTTGCAGAATACAAGGTAAAGAACACATAGACCCTGGGGTCTCCAGGATTCTGGGAACCACTACCTTGGGGAGCAGCAAGAGGATGGCAGCACCATCTATGCAGGGAAGAAGCATAGATGAAAAACCTTTCAGGACTAACATTGTCTCCCCTCGGCCCATTGTCCCTGATTCTCCCTTAAGTCTTCTCTAACCCTTTTCCTGTCCCTAAAGACTCTAGGACACCAGAGGGCCCAACTGGACGGCTTAACAGCCACCAACTATTAGACACATTCAGAAGGCCTTGGGCCTACATTAATGTGAAGTGCCACCACCAAGCTTATCTTTAGCAACGTTAGGACACTCTGGGGACCATGCCAATCCAAGGAGGGCAGACCCAGCCCTTCCTCCTGACTAAATGTCTGGCCTTAGTGGATAGAAAAAGGAGCCCAGACTCAAACTGAAGCTGGAAGAGACAAACTTACCCCCCACACCCAAGCGAGACATGCCCGCCTTTCTCCTTAGATCTACCCGTATGAGCTGCTGCTGGTGACAACAAGAGGAAGGGACCGGCTGCCAAAGGATGTGGACCGGACACGCTTAGAGGTATGGACTGGCATGTCTGACTTGCTGACGTTGTAGCATGACCTTGTCATCTATAAAATTCACACTCAAGAACCTGTTTTCTTTTTTAAAAAAAATTCTCAAGAAAACTCTCCTAGTGTTTTAAGTTTAAAGTTTTGCATTAGGGCTACATTCATAGCAATTTCAGGGCACAGTCTGAACGTGTCTGGCACTGTACAACCCTGAGGAAGACGTTTGGGTTGGAGAGAACCCATGGTTGCCAGACCTGACCCCACTTGGGGACAGAATGAGTCATTTAGGGACCTGTTGAAGCTTGTTGCAAGAGCAGAGACTCGAGCAAGCTTCCACAGCCCAACTGCTGTGCCGTTCTGAGCTGTCCCCTCTTCAGCTCAGTCGGTGCCTGTGGTGCACAGCTGCCGGTGTCCTCACCGGAGGCGGATGTTCTGTCTGCAGAACAGCAGCTAGGTCTGGTCCCTGCATACTCAGGGCTGCACTAGAGCCAGGTCTTGTGATGGGTATGAGGAACGGGGCAAATGGCACTGCTCAGAGGGCAGAAGCATAAAGAAGTCCCACGTTACAAACCCGCATTCTGCTTCTGCCATCACTAGGTGGGCCGCTTCAGCCAGGTGATAACACAGCTGCAGCTGTGTGAGAATGTCAGGCTAACGCTTCCCTCAGGCTTCCAAGAGGAGCAAATGAGGATATACGTCAAGCCCTGAGCAGAGTTTGGCAATGCGCCAAGGATTAAGTGCTAGCTAGATGTTAGGATGCTGCTATTCAAAGCATGTCACCAAGTCCTACTTGCTTGACATGGACGTGCAGGAAGGGGTAGGTAAGGTTTGGATGGGAGGGAAGCATCATGAGTAGTTGAAACAGTATGGATAAAAAAAAGTGCAGAGAGGCCCTGGGCATGGCGCTGGGTAGTACAGATCATTTAGCATGGAGTGCCCACCCCAGGCTACCTCTGACCTGGAACTTGAATTACCCTGTCTCATGATGTGTCCTTCCTGCCTTCCCATGCCTTTGACTCTTCCTACATGCCCTCACCATCCTGTGACTGTCTCACATCTTAGGGCCTTGCTCTAGAGACCACAGTACCCACAGTACCCAAATCCTTCCCAAGGCCTCCCTAGGATGGATCACATGCCTGGTCCTCCAGCCTCCCCTTGCCTTCATCAAGCACAGTTCAACATATCTCACTCTCATTAATTTTAATTGCTCGGCCAGACCCTGAGCTTTCTATGGGAAAGACTGTCTGTCCTGCACCACGGGACCTGGTTAGGAGAGATGTCAGAACACATTTGTGGACTAGAATGCAGGCTTCCCAAAGAGGAAGTTTTGTGCTCTTCAGGAAGTACATGGGAACCAGCTTTGCTTTGATGCTTAGAATTCACCCAGGGTAGAGGCAGAAGGGGTCGGGTGGGGGATGCCGCAAGTGAGCCATGAAGCTCTGTAAGTATACCCCATTCTAACGTCCTGAGTTAGCAGCCCAAGAACCTTGGGTGATTTGTTCACATCTTCCTAACAAGGGGCTTCAGGTGCCTGATGGTGCTGAAGGGGACAGCTCCCCGCCATCACAAAACAGCCGCTTAAGCATCTGCAGTGAGCTCAAGTTTCCCCGAGCATCAGAACCACCAGTGAGCATCCATCACACATAGTTCTCACCCCAAACCAGATAAATCACAGCCTAGGGAAGGAGCTCAGGTCAATCCATCATGGCTTTTAAATCTCCCAGGGATGTCTAAAATGTAATGCTGAGTTAGAAACACTGCCCCAGCCTCTGCACCAGCTCTAGACCCTGATGTGTCCTCAAGAAGTTCAGAGTACAGAAGCTCATTTATCCAATAAATATTTATCATAACTCTGTTAAAGAGCTAGCAAGATAGCTTAGCGGGTAAAAATGCTGGCCACGCAAGCCAGGCAACCTGAGTTCAATCCCTAGAAAGCACATAAAGGTGGAAGGAGAGAATGGGGTTCACAAAGTTGTTCTGCCCTCTAAACATGCTCTGTGACGTGTGCACCCCCAGACACAGATCACATATGTACACACAAAATAATAGCAAATTAAGTTTATAATTTAGAAGTTTATTATAGGTGCTAAATGTTGTTCTATGTATTTACATGTGTCTGTAAATCAGAGACCCTGATCTCTTAGAGTTTGCATTCTTGTGTGAGAAAACAGACACTAAAGAACACAAATGAAAAACAAATGTGACGCTGTGCTAGCAGGTGGTACGGGGAAGGGTAAAAATCCAAAGAACAGGACACAGAACTGGGAATTAAGAGAAGCAAGCTGTCATTGCAAATAAACTGACAAGAGTAGGTCTCACCTGCTATGTGACATCTGAGCAAGTTATCCATGCTTTTGTGAGCACTTTCTGGGCAGAGGAGACAGCCAGTACTGAGGCTTTAATACATAAGTGAGCTGTGTGTGGTAGAAGATATCAAGAGGTGAGTGAGGCTGGGACCACAGAGCACAGAAGATAAGAGGAGAAGGAAGTAACATCACAAGTGGGGATGGAGTCGTCTGTTTAACCAATTCTCAAAGAGCTCACACTGTGCTAAAAGTGAGCGAATCAGGCATGTCCATGAACTCTGTGCTCAAGAGTGAACTAGTTCACTCTTGCCATCCCAATGAAGTAGGTGCAGGAATAGTCCCTTCTTCTAGAACTGGAAACTGAGGCTTGGAAGGATTGCCCATTTGCCCAAGGCTATACATCCATGTCTATCTAAAACTGTGCTAAAATATTAGCTCGCAGTGGCAATAAGTTGTGTGGCTGTATACATAAATCTCACTGGGTGTCCTTCAATACCCAATGGAGATACTAAATGCTCAGAGAATCCAGGAAGCTTGCAGTCAAAAGATAGGCCATATATTTTCTTTTAAAATAAACTTTATTATTTAAAAAAACACACAGAAATTGATCAGACCAAGTGTATACATCTCAGTGAGTTTCTGTACAGCTAGAATAGCCATTCTGAAGCTGTGGAGCTCCTCGCTGGGTTGACACTTGAATGCACTTACTTCCCTTTTAAACTTGATTTTAAATCTCATTTTGAAAATGTTTAGACCTCCAGGAAAAGTGTATGAATAGGAAAATGAACACCCACCTACCCTTCACCTAAATCTATCAATTCCTAATATTTTGCTACATTTTAAATGACATATACTTCTAAGTCTAAAGGCTTTTGACATGAACCTTCAAGATTTCTGAGAACAGAGAAGAAGGGAAACTAGAAGGGAGGATAGGAACCTGCTGTGAAATGCAGATGAGTGTTTGCTTATATGACAAACTCATATTTCCATACACAGAAAAGAAAGGACGCTCCAGTGGGTAAAGAAATATAAGACAGTGAGCTTTCTTTTTTTCCATTCTTTCTGATGAGAAGCCTGCTAAGTCATTTTTAAAAGTATCAGTAAGGGTCAGTACATCCTGAATCCTTGGGTGTACCCCTTTTTCTCCCAAAGGGGAATTGGGTAGCATTAATCACATGTACTTATGAACATAGATACACGGAACATGAATTTATAAAGGGGAGGCCAATGTACAAATCGAGCTTGGATAAAGTCAACACCCAGCAGAGCTGGAGGCGAGGGAAGCCTCTCCAGCCAGCATGCATACCTCCAAAGGTCCCCCAGGAGGGCCTCCTGCCCCTCAGTCCATTCATCATACACCACGCAACTTCCTTGCTCTGACCCTGGGCCAGGCCCAGGGAACCCGCAGTGAAGTACAGAGAGACCTCTGAACCCACAGCTCTCGTCCTCACGCTGCCTGTGTTCCCTCCACACCATGCAGCGCCACCTGTCCCAGGAGGAGTTCTATCAAGTCTTTGGCATGACCATCTCCGAGTTCGAGAGACTTGCCCTCTGGAAGAGGAACGAACTGAAGAAGCAAGCCCGGCTGTTCTAGGCGTAGGCTCTATACATATAGATGCATTTATATAAAGATGTATGTAAATCTCTATCCTGACGCGCGATATAATCCTCTTGTATAATGGGACACAACATGCTGCCTGCCATGAGACTTGCTTTTCTGTACCGTCAGGCGAGCCCACATCGTCGAGGTATTTTTATGCTCCTTACTTCTCTTTTCTAAGTACTGTGGGGGGACCTGGGAAGGGGTTTGAAGGGACTCCATCCTTTTACTGGGATCCTTTTTATACCGAAACATCTGTCCCACCTTGAGTCCCCAAGGTCTGACTCTCCTTTTGAAAGGTGCCTGGAGGGGTCTCTACTCCCTGCTTCAGGACCATCTCCCAGTCTCCAGGGCTGATGCTGACCTTCCAGTTTTCACTGTGGTCACAAATGGGCCCTCCGGTGGAAAGGCCACCGTGATCCACCCAAATCAGTGAGCACCTCGGAGGCCTCTTGAAGAATTTTCTCCACACCTCCAAATAGGAGCTAAGCGCTCTGTGGGGTGATGCGGTTAGACATGGGGGCCTCAAATCCATTCCTTACATCAGTACAGAGTGGATGGGCCCTGGCCTCTCCTCAGCGCAGCAACCCCTCCTCCTTCGACCCTTGGTCCTGACCACACTCCCTCGTGCAAATCTAGACTTAATGGTAGGAAAAGGAAAACGGCACTTCCCTTCCCCCTACCACCTCCAACTGGCTCCTCTCCCTGCCCCACAGTGGTCCCAGCACACACCCCCACCCTTCCCCCTTTATAGGAGAGGCCATTGTCGCAGCCTGTACTCTTCAGCCTTATTACAGTCTACGTGCCTGATGACCTACACACCACAGGGCTAATGTTCCCACCATAGCTCCAGCAAGCATCCGAGATAGACACCCCTGCCCCTGTCCAGGGAAAAATAGGCCACAGCCCAAAGAAAAATCTTGGCCTATGCTACTGGTCCCTCCCTAGATGGCAATGCATTCATATTGGACCCACACACACACACACACACACACACACACACACATCCCCTTGGGTCTGCTACAACATTGGTTGCATCTCCCAGGGGAAGCTTTTAGAAGTGTGGATGTTGAGGGGATTCCAGAATGAGGCACTGAGCAGCCCTGCTCATGCTCCGCCCCCAGAGACCTCAGGGACTGGACTCTTTCTCTTCCTGCGACAGGCGAAAACAGAACCTTCTCTCAGCACCCCTGCTACCATTCTGAGCTGTTTACTGGTGGCCGCTCTTCCTTCTTGGAGATGCCTGTGTCACACTCTTTGGGGGTCATAGAAGAAAGACGGAGAAGTGTTAAAAAAGACAAGGATGGTGCTTGAAATGCTGGTGATGTGGCATAGCAAATGTACAGCTGACTGCAGCCAACCCTTCCTGGGCACCTGCTGAATGCTGAGCACGGAGTGGGGGAGGGGGGAGGGGCACTGGGATGAATCAAAGAGGGCCCTAGTTTCAGGGGCACACCTAGTAATAGGAGTCCTGGTGAGATGTACCAGACATAGCGGATGCAAGGCAGAAAGTGATGGACGGAGGCCTGAGAAAGGATGTGTGACGTGACGTTGCTGAAGGTGTGTGCAGCCGGTGCAGACCAAGGAAGCTTCTAGATGAGATTGCATGTGAGCAAAACCAGGAAGGATCTGAGGAATCTGCGAGTTGGAAGGGTGACAGGGTGGAGGGATTATGAAGGAAGTCTAATGTACTCTCATTTAAAAAAAAATGTCACCTCCCTGCAACTTCTCTTTTTGGCCAATGTCTTTCAACTTTCCTGACCCATTAGAAACGTCCCCAGCCAGATGCAATCATTGAGATTGCCTCATTGTCACTGGTTAACGACTTGGGAGATTGAAGGGCTTTTGTTATTGTTGTTGGATATTTTTGTTTCCCATAAAAGCACATCATTTCAACCCAAACCCATGTCCTCTTGTCTTTTGGAGTGGGGGGGGAGGGGGGAGTAGCTGGTGTGGGAACAAGCTGACTATGCACAAAAGTAACTAAGGACCAGGACTTAGTTTAAAGCAAAAAAAAAAAAAAAAACTTAGTGGTTCTCAGCCTCCCTAATGCTATGACCCTTTAATGCAGTTTCCTCATGTTATGATGACCTTCTACCATAAAATTATCTCATTGCTACTTCATAACTGTAATTTTGCTACTGTTATGAATTGTACATATCTGCTATACAGGATATCTGATACAGGACCCCTGTGAAAGGGTCGTCCGACAACCCCTAAAGGGGTCAAGAACCACAGGTTGAGAACCCACTGCCTTAGTTCAATCCATAAGCTTTACAGGAAAAGAAATCCAGGAGTAGCGGTGCACGCTTGCTATCCCAGCTCTGGGAAGGTGGGCACCGTTGGATACCTACAGCTCCTGTGCTAGCCAGCCTCGCCTGATTGGCAAGTCCCAAGTCCTGCTGAGAGAGCCCTGTCCCAAAACACAAGGTAGAAGCATCTGACTAACAACACCCGAGGTTGTCCTCTGTCCTACATGTAGGTACCATGCGCACATACACACAAGCATACAAGGTCAACGCTATGTGGCTTGTTCTCTGAAGAATGCAGGGTACTTGAGATAGCAGAGGGGGGTTCGGTCACAAATAAGACTCTGTAACCAAAGTCGTGTTAAATACCACCAGTGTGCCTATGCAAAGGACTAAAGGCACATCCTCTCATTTAGGCCTCTTAGCAACCCAACAGGTAGCCATAGTTAACACTCCCATCTCACAGATGGAACCACTTTGAAGATACGTAATTACTACTAGGAGGGCCAGGAGTCCTCTCGGCCTGTCTAACTGGACAGACCAGCTTCCCATTCCTAGCAGGTAAGTCCCTTTTACCTGCAAGTCCAAACTGCCTTCTTGAAAGTGGCTTGGGGAGCGGCGGCCGGAACCGGACGCGCACGGCAGCAGCGGCCGGAACCGGACGCGCACGGCGAGCGACGTAGCTGGTGCAGCAGCCGGGACCGGTGGGTACTGACACAGTGGCAGACAACGCAGGCGACAGGGACCAGTGCAACACCAAGAGCAGATCGCCCCAGGACAATTAAATCAAAGAGGTAGGCCTTTGGTTGGCGAGGTCCCAGGCAAACAGGGAACCTGGTTCTTTTCCTGAAGACCCGTCTGAGGGGTGAGAGGGATCTTGGCCCCTGGCAGGAGCCAGGAAACAGAACGAGGGAATTTTGCAAGAGGAGCCTCTGGCCAGCAGGGAAACCTTATCTGGTTTTAAAAGACCAATTAGAGATCATCAATAGGAGGAGATGGGCAGGCGCCAAGGCAAAAATTCTCCCAATAAGCTGAAAAACAACATGAAAGCACCAGAACCCAATGATCTTACAACAGAAGGACTTGAACACCCTAACACAGAAGAAGTGGAAAAAATCGACTTTATGAAAGCAATAGAGTCCCTTAAACAATATGTAAAAAACACCTTTATAGAAATGGATGAGAAGTATAACAAAAAGTTTGAAGAATTGAGTAAATACGTACATGAGACCCTGGGAAACCAAGAAAAATGAACAAACAGGTAATGGAAACAGTTCAAGAATTGAAAACTGAAATGGAAGCAAGGAAGAAAACACAAACTGGGGACCAGCTGGATACGGAAAATCTAGGTCAATGAGCAGAGCCTACAGAAACAAGCATAATCAATAGAATACAAGAAATAGAAGAAAGAATCTCAGATTCTGAAGACACCATAGAGAAAATAAACGCACTGATCAAAGAAAACAACAAAGCCAACAAATTCTCATCACAAAACATTCAGGAAATATGGGACACAATAAAAAGACCAAACCTGAGAATAATAGGAATAGAAGAAGGGGAAGAATTACAGCTCAAAGGCCCAGAAAATATATTTAACAAAATTATGGAAGAAAACTTTCCCAACATAATGAAAGTGGCTTGGATAGTAAGAGCAACCCGAAACCCAGGATGCAAGATCTCTGAACTCAGCAGCTCAGCAATGCCACCTAGAGTCAGATTCTTTGCGCCCCCTCCAATCCCATCATCCTTTCTATCCTGGCATTTATCCTCCGCCAGTGTGTCCCCTAGACACCAAGGATCAGCTGTGATCCTAGGCGTCTCCTCGCACAACCATATTTTAAAGACAGGAAAGAAATTTCCCTCCACGTGTCTAATTTAACACAGAAAACTTTCCCAGAGCTCCTGAGTCGGCGTCTGCTCCGGCCTTGCCCGGTGGCACTAGGGAGCACATCCATGTGTTTAGCACAGCGGAGGCGAGGACATTTGGGTTTGGCATTTTTAGCCACCACCACAGTGAGGCTCAGGCCCTACTGAATAGAAAGATGAGAAAGGGGATAGCCATGACCCATGAGTGAGGGCTAGAGTTTGGGCCACACTGTGCCATTTAAGAGACTCAATGCACACTGCCAAGGACCCTGAGATGGCCTGCAGTAGTTTCATTTAACCAAGTATTTCATAAACTAACTGCATTGACTCTTTAAGAAACATAGACTTACTGCGCTTCATCTATTTTAAGCTGCCCACTCTGCTCACATTTTGACATCTCTGAAGACAGGATGCAGGGGTTAGGGAGACGGCTCGGTGGTAAAGAGCAGTTGCTGAGCAATCATGAGGACCAGAATTTGGGTCCCAGTCCTTGTGTAACAAACTGAGCATCCAAAGCACCTGCGACCAGGCTGGGGAGGAGGGGAGACTGGGGGGCATCTCTGGGGCTTGCTGACTTCCAGCCCAGCTAAAAAAACACAAGTTCTAATTTGGAGAGAGCCTCTGGCTTGAAAGAACAGACAGAGAGACATAGAAGGAGACATCTGACATTCTCTTCTGGTTTCCACATGCATACAGAGGTGCACGCACCAGCACACATGTGTGCATATACGCCCTCAGAAACACATAAATGAATGAAGGAATGAATAACCTTGAAAATTTGAAAATGTGGCATGGGTTAGCCTCTTTCCTGACCTCTTATTCTATAATTTTTAGCAAGAATGATTCTGCTCCAGTGAGATAGCTCCACAGGTGAGATGCTGATGACCCGAGTTCAATGCCTGGGACCCATGTGGTGGAAGGAGAGAC